ATGTTCTTTTAATGAAACAATATAAAAATAGCAGCATCAATGCTAACGCTTGCTTCCTCAATGCGAGCCGCCATTGTTGTTGGAATCTCAGAGTCGCTTCTCCACTCCAGGACACACCCACCCTGCGTCCTGATTGGACAGACCATAAATTCGGTTGGGGAAACCACTTTCAATGAGCGGGTTCCCAGATGTATGTGAGTGGAGCTGGGCGGAGCGAGACATGCATCTGGCTGTTGTCAGGTTAACAGCTCACGCCCCTCACAACATGGCTAGCACACACAACCGGTAGCTTCTCTGTTAGCTTTGCTCAACCCGCTCAACACTTCTGGAACCAATGCTCTCCCAGCTCCCCCCCCATATTACAGAGTCAACCAAAGTAAACGCATCAAACAAAGGAACACAATACAAATGACGTATGGACCCCAATAGAACCAAACACAGAATCGTTACAGTTCTTTACATCGTCTCCTTATCTACAGGTTGCAAGTATCTGCATATTTTTATGACGCGATTTGAGCAAGATATAGTCCCCGGAAGAACGGCAGTGAACTGGTAAAAGAAAAGAGAAATGGCACGCTCAAAGATCACCCTGCACATTTTGAGTATGCCCTGCAAGGCTTTAAACCTGGGTTTGAATGGAGACTAAGCCATTCTCAAGCAAATATCAAGGTGCTCTTTTTGAGCCTGGATCCAGATTTATTTTTGATTCTGTTCATGGTGAAGAATCCTGCTTCACAGCAGCAGGTTGAGCCAAACATCCTCTAAATGTGCAGGGTCATCTTTTGAGCATGCCATTCCACTTTTCTTTCACCAGTTCACCGCAGTTCTTCCAGCAGTCCACACTTTCTCTGCTCTCTTTTTCTCATCGTTTTCTCCTTCTTTTAGAAGACAATGATTTCCTTCTAAATCAGGTTTGGTCCGGATTAGCCAGCAGGTGGGTCCAGATATGGAACGCAGTCAGCTTATCTGTGACCTCTGCATTACACCATGTCCCACTTTTAAAAAGATAGAAGACAATCTTGAGAAATGGACATTGCTTCACTTATGGGCAGGGTTGCTTCGTTTAAGTGATGGTTTTACCTAGAATGAATTACTTATTTTCAATATTCCCTAATAAACCACCATTTCAATGGTTTAAATCTCTCAACTCTATCTCTAAATTTCCTTGGAAAGATAAACCCCCTCATATCAGCTTGAAAACGCTACAGGAGACCACAGATAGAGGAGGACTAGACCTGCCTAACTTCCATAACTACTATTTAGCAAATAGCTTCAACCTCTAAAGGGATAAAACTTAATCCCTTAAGGGCTGGTTATACTCCCACAGCAGTGTGTCGCAGTGAGTTTGTTGCAGATTTTTTTTATATATGCACAATATTGAAGGATGGTCTGTGCTGTTATTCCACTCTGCAAGGCAAGAGGGACAATTAGCCACTAGCTGTGGGTCTAGATACAGCTGAGGCAGTGAGGAAGTGGAAAAACGCAAGGGGCAAGTTTATGCGACAATGTAACGACATGAGGGTGAAAAAGAGCGGGGATCCAGGTGGGAAAGGGTCAGAGCGTTCTCACGAATCTCACTCTTCTAGCTGGTCCATCTTCACCAGTCGTTTTCCACAATGGCGGTCATACAAACAAAACAAGTCTGCATGGTACCAAACAGGAAATATGCATATTTTAGAGCGGATGTAGATTTGACCAATCAGAGGCCTCCTGTCTGTGGTACTGTCTGCGGTCTGGCAGTGTCTGCGGAGGGGGAGGGGAAACATTTGCGTTCACAGCGACACACAGTTGTAAAATTTCAACCTCCCCATCAGTTAGTTTGATTGGTTACTAAATCTTTGCAAGAAACGAACAAGC